AAGATGACATAAACAACTTAGGGGTGGCACTGCATCGGTTGCATGAGGAGAGGATCGCTTGGAGGAGAGGATCCCTTGGCCATCCATGTAGCAGTTACCTCTCTGTGGCTAGCCAAGACCAACAAAGCCACATATTTTTGATCATTCAATAGTGGAGGCCAGCTTTTAGACTAGGGCAACACTAAGGAAAAGTTGAACCATGTTGAAGGAGAAATATGTGAGTGGAGAAATTATTCCTTGCGAAGTCGGGACGTAGCTCTCTCTCTCTCTCTCTCTCTCTCTCTCTCTCTATGGGAAAATTATTAGGTCTAGAGACCGGACGCATCTCTGCGTTCGGACGCCAATAACTAGTTTATAGGTTGATGATTACACGTGGAATTTTTTTAATAAATCTTTTAATTTAATTTATATCAACCCGACCCGACCAGATCCACTATTTTTTTCATTATAAACGTAGGGCTTGCACTATTTTTAGAAACCCGTCAAAGATCTAAAATATTTATTGCTTTTGATACGTACTGAAGAAAAAAACAAGTTAGAAAATTGCAAAAAATATATTGAATGCTCTCCAAAGAGAGAGGGGTAAGGGGTGCAAGAAACTAGAGTAGGTAAAGTAGAGGAACATGAACTCTTTGCAAACATCAAGCGATATAGATAACCATAGGAGCAACCAATTCGAATTCAATTGTGTATTTTCAAGTGCAAGCCGAAAATTCATTATGATCTCCTTATAGCAACAGGATTTACAATCCACAAAAAATAAATAATCCTTACATAAATAATGGCCGCATCTGCAAGATCAAAAGAAACATAACATGCCACCCAACAAAAAAAGACAATAAGCCATGGGCATCTCAAAGATCTTATCCAATCCGACAATCCCACATTCCCCCAAGTGCAGTGTGCACTACATCACAGGTTGCAACCTATTCCAAGTGAAGATAATCAAGAATGCTTCCCCAATCTTGCATGTGATGCTCAATGCTAGGCCCATCCTACACATTTGCACTTTTTTAGGTTTACAAAAAGGAAACTGATCATCATTTTCTCTTCCTTTAAAAGATAAAACAAATTAAATTCAATTAACTTCCAAGGACCAAGCAACATAAACATCATTGCCCAATCGGTAACATACAACTATATAAACAAGTACTTTCAGTGCAAGTGACAAAAATCAGAAATTGAAAGATTTTTTTTTTCAAAGATTTGCCCGAAATAATCTATCAAAGTATGAATTCACAAACGAAGCACCGACGAAAGAGACTATGCATGCAACTACACGATAGACAACCTTTTGAAATGGTGTGAATGAGAATAAACCATTTGTTCTTTGCAAACTGAGAAGCTCAATCACAACTATCAAATTCAGTAAAAATGTCTTATCTAGAATAATGGCATACACAACTCTCCTTGGCCTATTGGTTGAGAGCTTAGGTTTCCAACTAAGAGGTCCAGGGTTCGAGTATTTGTGTATGCGTTGTGTGTGTGAGTTTGCCTTAAATGGCCTAAATGTCCCAAAAAAAAAAAAAGAATAATGGCATAAAAACCGGATGGGTGTCACACTGCATTGGTTGCCTGATGAGAGTATCTCCTGGCCATCCATGCGGCAGTTACCCCTCTGTGACTAGACAAGCCCAACAAAGCAACAAGTTTCAAATCATTCCGGAGTGTATGCCAGCCGTCAGGGTAGGGCAAGCCCAACAAACGATATTTTGGATCCAAGAGAAATAAGAAAGGGCCCCTGGATCTCAACAAAATAGAAAGAAAATTTTTTTAGAAATGGTGAGAATGATAATAAAATATTTGCTGTTTGCAAACTGAAAAGCCCAATCACAACAATCAAATTCAATAAAAATGTCAGATCCAGAATGATGACAAAAACAACTAAGGGGTGGCACTGCATCGGTTGCCTGAGGAGTGGATCCCCTGGCCATCCATGAAGCAGCCACCTCTCTGTGGCTAACCAAGCCCAACAAAGCCACATATTTCAGATCATTCAACAGCTGTTGAAGGCAGCTGTTAGACTAGGGCAACACCAAGGAGAAATTATTCTGTGCGGACACGGAACGTACAAAGACGGGATGGAGAAATGTGTGAGTGGAGAAATTATTCCGTGCGAAGTCCGGACGTAGCTCTACCTCCTCCGGACTACAAGAAATCGTGAATACACTGTGCAAAAGTTTGTAGTCAAGCTAGGGCAAAAAATGAAAGAAGGGGGCTTTACATACAACCACTTCTCTCTCTCTCTCTCTCTCTCTCTCTCTCCCTCTCTCCCTCTCTCTCTCTCTCGTATATTTCAGATTTATTCGAGAGTGGAAGCCAGTCATCAGGCTACGGCAACACCAACTAAAGAAACGTTAGATCCAAAGAGAGAATGGAGAACCGACTATTCTCTCCCCATCCCTGGCTATCCAAGCCCAACAAAGCCACCAATTTCAGCAAAGAAATCTACCACCTTCAAATCGTTGAAGCCAGAAGTTAGGCTAGGGCAACAAATGAAATAAGGGGATTTACATACATACCACAAAATTCTATTCTAATGAATCCAATTAGGAGAAAAGACCCAAGCTCTCCTATCTGAAAAGCCACAAGTTTCCGATCATCCGAGAGCGGAAACCAGCCTTCCGGCCAGGGCAATACCAACTAACGAAACATTAGATCCCAGATGAAGGAGAAATAACCATTCTCTCCTCTCTCTCTCTCTCTCTCTCTCTCTGGACGATAATGGTGGTTTGGCGGAGAAAATTGATCCATGCGAAGTAATTTAATCAAATAAATAATTGATTACTTAAATTATATAAATATATAATATAAAATTACATTAATTATTTTTAAAATATCATTAAATTGAGAATTATTAAATCGAATAGTTTTGCTAAAATTTACTTTAGGTTTAAAATTAAACCTCTAGAAATTTTGCTTTGTTTTTGGCTTGTTTTATTTAAATTAATTAAATTAGAAATAAAAAATGGTTGAACTAAAAATTTAATATCAAATAATATCAAGCAGTGATATGTTTGAAATATTTCTATTTGATTTTAGGGTTGTTTTGTAATTTGGTTGGTTAAAAAAGAGTAAAATGAATAAAATATAAAAAGAATATTTTGAAAATTTTTGTATGAGTGTAAAGTAAATTAAGATGAAACATTTTCGATCTTTAGAAATAAAATGAATGCAAAGTAAAGTTTTAATAATGATGACGACCTGCGGGTGTCAACTGACGACGAGTGGAGGCAGTGGTGGCGGACGGTGGAGGGTGGCAGAGGTAAAAGGAATGCAAAATATTTTAAATATTAAATTTTAAAAATTTTTGGATATTTTGTTTGAAATAGAATAACATAGAAAAATTTTATGTAATTGGAATGCATCCTCTAATGTAATTTTAGAGTAACTAAAATTGACAGATTTAGGTAACTTTAAATACACCATAATTTTTTTGTTGTTACAATTGTCCTTCAGCCGATACCAACACTGCTATCGCTAACTGTCACTATTGTCAACTACCACCAACCATCATCATCCTTGTCAATCACTATCGCTACCGCCAAGTACCGACCACTACCATTTTTTTACTTTAAATTACATTCATTTTACTTCAAGTAAAATATAAAAAAAAACACATGTAACTATTTTACACTTATCAAAATATTTTAAAATATTGTAAGTACATTATATCCATTTCATACGTCTTTATATATTTACTCTACATTTCTATTTAAAACAACCAAATAATCAAAACCTTATCAATGCTTTCAATCTAAGGTAAAAGAATCAATATGTATATTTTAGTTATATTATCAATCATTAGATAACGAGCAATAGAAAAATCTCAACATAATATAAAATCAATAAGATCAGTGAAGTAAAAAAAAAACTATTAAACTATAAGACATAATATAAAGAGTATTTTATTTAACCTGAACAAATACTGATAAAGAGAACTATCACTCAGTGAGTCATGACAGTATGTTTATGCAATATTATATCAATATTAATGCCTGCACGATTTCAATTATATTATCAATCAATTCAAAATACTATCATGTAAATGCAACAATTTTAATGTAAAAATTTCATCATTTCATCATAATTATTGTTTAGTTGTGCATTAATCTTCATGTTAGCCCAACAATCAATTGATTTGTAACACATTTATCACCTAGTTAAGTATCAATTTTGATTAGGCCAAAACATCGACCAATTGGGATAATTTTTATCTTTCATAATTACAACTGCCTTCCATCAAGTCATCAAGTGAAAATTGCTTACATTTAAATGTTATATTTTTATCAATGAAATATAATAATTCATAAAATACATAAAAACTGATCAAATTTATCTACTATGCATTTATTTCAAAAAATTATAACTTTCAAATTAAACGGTAAAAATACAATATATTTTTGTCAAAATACACATTAACAAGGTTTATCACATAAAAAAATTATACAATAAAAATCTTACCAATATAAAATTATCCTCATTTTTTAATAAAATAATATATAATTTTGATGAGAAAAAAAAACTAAAAATATCAAAATTTTGAAATTATAAATAGGATAATAATTCAATACAACGAGACAAACATTTTTTCTAACAAAATTAACTAGCAAAAATCATAAATAATCTCTCTAATTTCATTTTCAACGTCTCTAGTATCATAAAATCAATTGAGAATAGATAAATGAAATTTAATAATTTCACTTAATGGGTTCAAATATTTTAGAGTAAAATAATATAAAAAGTTAAATAATTTATTTTATTTTTATTATATAATTCATATCAATTCTTTTAGCACATCAAAAATTATAAAAAAATATTCATATCATATATCATTTTATTAGTAAAAATAGATTTGCAAAATAAACACATGACAGTCCCCAAATTTCTATTTCTACCAAGTACCAATAGATATCAATTTCTTAAAAATTGACATCAATGACAAAATTACCAAAAAAATATTATAATAAAAACATAATAAAACCTGGCTAATTTTGGAATTAAAAAGTTTATAAAGGATCTTGATTGAATCAATTTGATGTTTGTTAGATACAAGTCATTTTTAGCCAACTTGTATAAATTAAAAGCAACAAAGAAAACATTGTGAGCATCATCAGGTTAGCTTGCTCTTCATTTGAATGAAATCAAATTTTCAAGTTATTGACCATCAAAGTAGATCATATATGCTCATTCTGTGCAAATGCAAAGGTAGGCTCAACTGCTAAGAGATCATTGAGTTGTTTTTTTTTTTTTCCATCGCAGAAGCAAAGTCTCCCTCCTGTAAGTCTTAATCAATATTAATTTCATTATGATTAGAAAAAATAGAGAAGAAAGCAATAGATGCATTGACACCCTCACTCAGGTTAAGGGATTCTTACACTTGTACTCCTTTTCTTTTATAGCTCTGGTTGCTCATCTCCCATGGTGCTGCTCTGATACTAACTCCAGACCCAACTAATGAAGAAGCACCAGTGACTTCAAAAGAATCAATCAGTAGCAGTTATTACAAAAAGTTTGGCTCGAAGTCTTTTTCAAACCTTCTCGAGGCAGCTTCTTGTTGATACGTTATTGCTCCGAGTTACTTAGACTGAACCAGTTCAGAGCTTGGCTGCTCCAACAGGTGCTTGATCCTACTGTCATCATTAATGAAGCTTCACCTACACTGAACGGAATTTCTTCTGTGGCGGACTTGCCAGATCAATCTTTTCTGGTTTTGAGAAGTGATGGGAATCAGTGATAGGAAATACTTGAGTTCTCAAGTAACCTAACCAAAATCGGCGAACAAACAGCAGCCAAATGGCTGTCCACAGCAGGAAAACAGCAGAAATCTGCTGTTTACAGCAGAAAAACAGCACTTGTCCGGGAAAATCTGAGAGAAAACTCAAAGGAAAGCTCGTATTATACCAGTAGATGAATAAAAACAGCAAGATACAATTGATCCTCAATTCGAGAGGATCGATCTCTCCCAAATCGCTAGACGCCGCTAGAGCCCAAAGAAACCTAAATCTAAGAGATCAAATTTCAGCCAAATTCAAGATACCCAAATCCTATGAAAAACAACTATTTAATGCATACAAATCAAAAGGAAATCCCTAAACAGTCCCTACATTCAAATTCCCTCCTAATCGTGGAATCGCGGCACGCGCGGCATCCCGCACAGGCGGAGTTCTTTCTCCGCTGTTTTGCGGTTTTGCCCGTGAATCGGTCCCGCCTGGACCGGTCTAACAATCAGCAACGTTATTGCTTAATTGGCAGGCAATAAGCACTTTTATTGTACTTTACCATCTTTCTTACCGTTTAGAGGAAAAGGTTTGAAAGAAGGGGAAGCAACAGAGGAAAACAAAGCAAAATTATATGAGAATGACAGGATAATGCCTTTCAAAACTTAACAGTAAGGCGATCTAGAAATAATATATCATTAAGCATCTATCAGATTGGAATGAACGATCCATCAATAAAATAATTCAGAAAAGAATCATCTTTAACTACTTTATTCCTATGAATTCATTTATTTGCTCTGGTTCTTAAGTGCACAAAAGACTAAAAGGAATGGTATAAAGTTAATCCTAGTCTTAGATTAATCACAAATGGCTGCCATGCATCAACATTTCGGATTAAAGGATAACGTCTCTACAATTTGCTGCAGTTATAAAACCTTCACTTGGTTCCTTGTGATTGTACTCAAGTGTTACAGTAGATATGCAGAAAGAATAAAGCAAATGCATAACTGAAAAACAATTCTATTGGCGTTGCATAAAACATTTCATTCAGAAGCCCGTTAGAGAGTTTCCAGAAACACTATCTGGAAATAATGGACTTACCATTAAAGAGTTCTGAGAAACTTGCAAATGCGGATTGCCAAATTAGCAACAGAGGCTGATCGAGTTCAGTTTCTTCGCTGCATCAAGGTTGAATAAGAAAGGAATGAATAAACAGTATCTACAACTTTTTTCCTGAGAACTGCAGGCTCCCTCGTTCTGATTGCTAACAGATTCATTCTTAACAAATAGTAAGTTGTCTTTTGTAATTTATTATATCTTCTTTTTTTTTTCTAGCAGGAAGCAAAAGAATGAAATCAAAGAAGTAAAGATGTGTACAAATTTCATTTAAGATTCCTCCGAAGCTCTGAGAGACATCAGAAAATGGAAGGAAAGTGAGAAGTTTTCAGCAGAATGGCTGCATCTGCATGATTTAAAGACAGCTAGAATGCCTCCCAACAGCAAGAGACTATAACCTATAAGATAATTTACACAATCCAAAAATCTCAAATTCTCCCAAGTGCACTATATCACAGGTTGCCACCAATTCCAAGTGAAAGTAATCAAGGATACTTCTATAACAAAATATTAAACCCAACCCTGAACATTTGCAATTTTTTACGTACAAAAAGAAGACTGATCATCAAAGCTTCTTCCATCCATCAATGCTTACAAGGAGATATACTAGCATATCAAAAATATTTATTTCTGTGAAAGAAAGAAAAACCAGGAATATACTTTTTTCCTGTGATTTGCGCCTATTTTTTTTATGAGAGCATCACTCGTGATTCGTGAATTTGCTAATCAAGCACAGAATAGACTTAACATGCAACTACAAAATGTAAATGTGAAAAAAAAAATTCTTGTTTGCAAACTGAGTAGGCCAATTAAAACCATCAAATTTATTTAGGAAGCCTCATCAACAATAATGACTAGTATTGGATGGGGGCACTGCAATGGTTGCCTGACGAGAGGATCCTGCAGCCATCCATGATGCAATGCCTCACACCATATCCATCTCTCTCTATATCTCATGTGAGTTGGACAGTGTAGCTTCTTATTTATTTATTTGGGAACTGTGAGTATCAAAGAAAGTTTCTTTGTTGCGAAACCATCAATTGGAAGAGGAAAATGAAATACCACCCTTCAAAATGGCTGTGGATATCGCACCTATCCTTTTATGTGACCGTTTATATGAGTGTAGTTTACTCTGACAACAAATGACGTAGCAATAACCTCTCTCTCTCCCTCGCATCTATATGCCCAAAAAAGAGCTCAACTAAAAAAAAAAGAAATGGATGCGTCCCCATAGCTCACCAACATAATAATGTAATTTTGTAATATGTTAAGTGGGATTTAAAAAAAAAACAAATTACTAGTAAATGTGATTTTGGATTAGTTGTAAGAAATAACAAGTAAAAGATACAACTAATTGAGGAACTTTATGTGGAAAAAGAATTGTTGGATTACATTAAAGATCAGCTTCAAGCCCATATCTCTTGCTTTATTTATGGATGTTCTTGCTAGTCATTTGCAAGATGATGTACCTTGGTGTCTGCTTTTCACTGATGATATTCTTATTATTGATAAGACTCGAGAGGTAGTTGATGAAAAACTTGAAATATGGAGGTCGATCTTAGAGTCAAAATTTTTTTTAGTTGAGTGGCACTAAAACAAAATAATGGAGTGTAACTTTAGTAGTAAAAGATCTACTGGCGAGATTATAACATTGGGTGATCAAGTCATTAAAAAGAGTGCACATTTATGGATATATTGATAGTATAATCAAAGTTTGATGGTTGAAGTGGAGGAAATGAAGGAATGCATAATGTCTGTTGTGTGATAAGAAGGTACCCCAAGATGGGAAAATTTTCTAAGATGGTGGTGAGACCATGAAAGCTTATGGCACAGAATGTTGGTCACTAAAAGAGAAGCATAAAATTAAGTGTTGTAGAAGAGGATGCTCAGACTAAACGCTTAAAGAATAAGTGCAAAACAAGCACATAGGCGAAAAAGTTGGAGTAACTCTAATGGCAAATAAGATTAGAGAGTCGTCTTAGATGGTTTGTTCATATAAAACGTCGGCCTTCTAATGAACTCGTTAGGAGAGTAGATGTATTAGATCCAACCTATGTTAAGAAAAGTAAAGGTAAACCTAAAAGGGCTTGGTTATCAACAAATGTAACCAAATTTTCAGCATGATTTCTTGATAGGAACAGAGCTTGCAATCAACAAAAGTATCCAATCCTTACAATGGCAGCATCTGCATGAACAAAAGACAGCAAATATACGTCCCTACAACAAAAGACAATTAGATATGGGATTCTCAAAGACATTTTACACAAATGAACATCTTACAACCCCCAAGTACACAACATCACAGCTAGCCGCTTATTCCAAGTGAATACAATCCAGGATACTTCCACAATCTTGCATGTGATGCTCAATATTAAGCCTATCACAAACATTTGAATTTTTTTCAGGTATGCATAAAAAGGAAACTGATCATCTTTGCCTCTTTGATGAAAAAACAAAACAAAAAAATTCAAGTAGTTTCTAAGGACCGTGCAACATAAACATCATTGCCCAGTAAGTATTACATTAGCATTTCAAAAACAACTATTATCAGTGCAAATGACAAAAATAGGATTTGAAAGACTTTTTCAATGATTTGCAGTTTTGCACGCAATTCTTATAAGAGAAACAAGCATGAATTTGCTGGCTGAACACAGAGAAGAGACTCAACATGCAACTACCAGAAAGGAAGACAAGTCCAGAGAAATGGTGTAAATGTGAACAACATACTTTCTGGTTGCAAACTGAGTAGCCCAATCACAACCATCATATTCAGTTAGGAGACATCATAAATAATAACAAACATTTGATGGGTGGCACTGCATCGGTTGAATGAGAAGAGAATCCCTATCCATCCATGATGCAGTTGCCTAACATCATATTCATCTCTCTCCCTCGCTCTCTCCCATGCAATGGACAATATCTTTCTTTGAGATGTGAATCAATAGGATATAATTCATAGGGCACAAAACCCTCAATTAGCTAAGGTGGATTCAGATTTTTTGTCCACTTAGACAAATATCCCCCCACCCCAAGGTCTATAAGATACTCTTGGACGAAGAAACTCATGAATGCCGACAAGGTTCCTTCTGTCAAGTTGGGTCGACTACGTCCTCTGACTAAGTAGACTAGGGACCATGATGACCCGGGATGATGAAACCATGGGATCTTGATCGAGTCTATCATCACAACCCCCACCATCCGCTTTAAGAAAAAGATATTTAAATTTTTAATTTTAAATATTAAATTCTCACACACCAAATCATGATGCTACTATACACCAGATATCACATATCTCTACGTATCTGTTTGTCGACTACCCTTAAACGAAAGTTCTCTCCCGATATCGGAATGGGTGATAAACTATAGGGGCTTGCGCCTATAGGAAACCAGAACTCAGATCATAGAGTCCTCGCAAAATGAGGGCGAAATCTCTGGGTAGTGTCTTATTTCAAATCTAATATGCCTTCTGAAAATTTACCTCAGAACTTGTTAAAACTCTCCTAGACAACCCGATAAACAAAAATAAAGAAAGGTGACAGGGAGAGGCCGGGGACGAATTTTTGGAGCCCACATCAAGCAAGTAGGTGAAGTGAAACATGAACTATTTGTCAACATCGAGCTTTATTCAAAACCCTAGGAGCAACAACTTTGATTTGAATGTGTAACCCAAATTCCAGTAATATTTCTTGATAGGAACAGAGTAAAGTGAATACAATCTTCCACGTGATGCTCAACAATAACCCTATCATGAACATTTGCACTTTTTTCAGGTATGTATAAAAAGGAAACTGATCATCATTCCATCTTCGATGAAGAAACAAAACAAAAAAATCAAGAAGCTTCTAAGGACCGTGTAACATATAAACATCATTGTCCAGTAAGTATTACATTAGCATTAAAAAAACAAGTATTATCGGTGCAAATGACAAAAATAGGATTTGAAAGAATTTTTCAACGATTTGAACGCCGCAATTCTTATAAGAGAAACAAGCGTGAATTTGCTACCTAAACATAGAGAAGAGACTCAACATGCAACTATTAGGAAGGTAGACAAGTCCATAGAAATGGTGTAAATGTGAACACCGTATTTTCTGGTTGCAAACTGAGTAACCCAAAATTACAACCATCATATTCAGTTAGGAGGCCTCATCATAAATAATAACAAATATTTGATGGATGGCACTGCATCAGTTGAATGAGAAGAGAATCCCCATCCATCAAAGATACAATTGCCTAACATCAAATTCATCCCCCATGCAATGGACAATAGATTTTCTTTTTTTGGAGGATGAATGGTCAGCGCCTAGGCACAATTTTGATGTTGACAGTTTAGCATAAGTCTTCTTTCTTTATTTTCCCGACATAACCGGGTTTTACAATGGGGAACTATGATAATCATAGCCTTCAATCAGCCTCTAAAACTATAAAACTCAATATACAGACTGTTGCAACATCCTGAACTCAAATAGCAAAAAGTGACAAATTTCTTTGTTGTGAAACCATCAATTGAGAAGAGGAAAATGGCTGCGAATGAGACAAAAACATTTGTTGCTTGCAAACTGAGAAGCCCAATCACAACTATCAAATTCAATTAAAATGCGTCCTCTAGAAACAAACTGATGGGTGGCACTGCATCAGTGGGGATCTATTCAAGCCCAGCAAAACCACAAATTTCATATCATTCCAGAGTGTAGTAACCCAGACGTTGGGGTAGGCCAAGTCCAACAAACGATATTTTGGATCCAAGATGATAAGAAAGGACCCAAAGATCTCTACACAATAGAAAGACGACTTTTAGGAAATGGTGTGAATGAGAACAAAATATTTGATGCTTGCAAACTGAAAAGCCGAATCACAATTAAATGACACATCTAGAATAATGGCATAAACAACTGATGGTTGGCACTGCATCGGTTGCTTGAGGTGAGGATCCCCTAGCCATCCATGAAGCAATTAGCCAAATCAATTAGGTCTACCTCTATGTTGGCTACATCTAATACATCTACTGTCCAAACTGGGACATCGAAAGGGCGAAGTTTTATGTGACCAAACCATCTAAGGCGACTCTCTCTAGTCTTATCTGCCACAGGAGCTACTAAAACCTTTTTCCATATATACTCATTTAGCATTCCGTCACTAAGAGTAAAGGCTACTCCCTCATCAGCCTGATGATCGTCATCTCAGCAACATTTAACTTAATTTTATACTTAGCTTTTAAGGGTCAAAATTCTGCACTATAAATCATTGCAGATAAAAACATCTTATAGAATTTTCCCTTAAATTTGGGGATACTTTTCTAGCACACAACAGGCCCGATGCATTCCTCGGCTTCAATCATGCAACTTGAATTCTACTAATAATATCCCCATCAATTTCACCATCACTTTTGAATAACATAATCCAAATATCTAAAATGAGAACTCTTTTTAATGAATTCATCTACCAAAATCACGGTCTCCCACTAATATATTACTATTAAATTTAGGGGTGTCAATTTCGGGTCAAGGGTAGGGCTCAGGTCAAACCCGAAACTAACCCGACACTATTTGGGTCAACCCAAACCCGACCCATTTTTGCAAATGGGGCGGTTTTTCGGACTCGAACCCGAAAATGTAACCAACAAATGTACAAAAATTTCAGCATGATTTCTTGATAGGAACAGAGCTTGCAATCAACAAATGTATCCAATCCTTACAATGGCAGCATCTGCATGAACAAAAGGCAGCAAATATACGTCCCTACAACAAAAGACAATTAGATATGGGAATCTCAAAGACATTTTACACAAATGAACATCTTACAACACCCAAGCACACAACATCACAGCTTGCCGCCTATTCCAAGTGAATACAATAAAGGATACTTCCACAATCTTGCATGTGATGCTAAATATTAAGCCTATCACGAACATTTGCATTTAGATTCGTCTCTCTCTCTCTCTCTCTCTCTCTCTCTCTCTCTCTCTCTCTCTCTCATGCAATGGACAGTATTCTTTTTTTGGAGGACGAATGGTCAATGCTTAGGTACAATTTTGATGTTGACAGTGTAGTATAAGTCTTCTTTCTTTATTTTTCCGACAGAACTGGGTTTTATAATCATAGCCTTCCCACAGCCTCTAAAACTATAAATACAGACTTGCAACATCCTCAACACAAATAGCAAAAAGTGACAAATTTCTTTGTTGTGAAACCATCAATTGAGAAGAGGAAAATGGATGCAAATGATAACAAAACATTTGTTGTTTACAAATTGAGAAGCCCAATAACAACTATCAAATTCAATTAAAATGTCTCATCTAGAATAATGGCATCTATGTTGCACCGATACACCTATTTATGAAGGCGTGTAGTATCCGATACACCGATACACGGAAATACCTCCGATGCAGTACCGATATGTGTCCGATACGGCAAAGCCGTATCCAATTAAAATGCTATTTAATTTTAAAAGGACAAGCGTGTCCATTTAAAAATAAAAAATCCGAATAAAAATTGACGCCATGTATTTACTTTCACAACTGCGAGCGCGGTTCTTTCATTTCCAAGATGGATTTGAGTCTCTTGATGATATAGGAATATTAGAAATTGCTAATCTTTTACTTTGAAGCTAGGATATTTATTGAAGATGACATAGAAGTTCAAAGACAAACCACTGAAGAAGCTAATCATATCATTCCTTCTAGTGAATAGTTGAAACTTCATGTGCTAGACAATTTATGTTTTTGCTTTTTGTTGTACTAAACATTTAATGCTTACTTTTATTTTGATATTATAAGCTACAAGGCTACAAATGATGTTGCTTTTTTTTTTGTAATTTCAAATATTATGTTGTGATTGATTTCTTATGATTTATAAATTATAATGATTTGTCTGCGTCGTACCCGTATCCTGTATTTTTAAGAATTGACGTGTCTCGTATCTATATCGTGTCTTATCCTTGCCTCCGTATCGGTGCAACATAGAATGGCATAAACAAACTGATGGGCGGCACTGCATCCGTTGCCTCAGGAGAGGATATATTCAGCAAAACCACAAATTTCATATCATTCCAGAGTGTAAGCCAAGACGTTAGGGTAGGCCAAGCCCAACAAACAATATTTTGGATCGAATGGAATAAGAAAGGACCTCTAGATCTCTACACAATAAAAAGACAACTTTTAGGAAATGGTGTGAATGAGAACAAAATATTTGCTGTTTGCAAACTGAAGAGCCGAATCACAATTAAAATGACACTTAGAATAATGGCATAAACAATTGATGGGTGGTACTGCATCGATTGCTTGAGGTGAGGATCCCCTAGCCATTCATGAAGCAGTTAGCCAAATCATTTAGGTCTACCTCTACAACTCTGCCTTTCTACATAATGTAGGACATATCTAATACATCTACTGTCCAAAATTGGTCATCAGAAGGACAAAGTTTTATGCGGCCAAACCATCTAAGGCGACTCTCTCTACTTTTATCTGCCACCAGTGCTACTCAAACCTTTTCCAGTATATACTCATTTTGCACTCGATCAATAAGAGTAAAGGCACTCATCCACCTTATGATGATCATCTCTGTAACACTTAACTTAATTTTATACTTCCTTTTAAAGGGTCAACATTTTGCACTCTAAAGCATTGCAGGTATAAACACCATCTTATAGAATTTTTCCTTAAGTTTGAGGTAGGGCTGCAAGCGAACCAAACGTTCGATGAGCTATTCGTTGTTCGGTTCGATTAAAGCTCGTTTGTGATCGTAAATAACTAAACAAACAAACTTGAACAATATTTTAAATACTCGATTCTTAAATAAACAAACTTGAACACTAATGCGTTCGGCTCATTTATGTTCGCGAACAACATCATTTGAAGTTCGTGAACAAGCTCGACATTAAGCTCGATAAAAGCTTGATTCTTGTTCGATTTTGAACTCGTGAATAAGCTAGATAAAAATAATTAATATTTGACTATATAATTAATAAATATAAATAATCATTACCTTTGTTATATAGACAATTGCTTTTATTATAAATGTGTTTGTTCATAGATATGTTCATGAACGTATTTGTTTGATAGTTAAAAAAATTTGTTAAATATGTTCGCG